CCTGTTTTATAATGAAGCAATATACGTCGTACACAAATTTTCTACCCTTTCTTTTAAGTACTACACCAGTTTGTCACGGCATAGTGTATGTTTTATAAAAAATCAACAAACACTCAACAAATAGCAATGGCAACAAAGTCCACAAGCAATTATAACAAATAACTTAACGATTAATAACGATAGACTTTCCACTGTACGCAAGCGTACTTTTGGGAGCAAGCGGAACGAGGGCGCGGTGCGGGACGCAAGGTTCGACTGATCTACCAATAACGCGCTCGATACGATTTCCCCTGCCGTCGTGCCTCACCCTCACCACCAAAGTGATCTAAAATTCGGTTCTGCGCAGTCAAGGTCATTTGCTCACGAAGTTTGCCGGTTACTTAAATATCTATATTTTACTGTTACCAAATTTCCAAGCAATAAAACCTTTACATGAATCCAGCTCTAATAATATAAGTCCGTTTGTACGATTTTCAAGCTTAAATTACAATACCTACGGTTAGTTATAATAACCGGCAAACTTCTTGAGCATTTGTTGACGTAGTGGGGGTAAGTTTGCGCATGGTACACTCACGTGCAAAAACATTACTTACTCTGCGTCATAATGCTATTAAATTATTAAAATCAACATATGTATTTATTCATATATTTATTAGAACATCAACAAAACATATAGGTTAATAATTGTAATAATTTAATCTTGGGGTAAAATAGATATTCCTTCTATTAAGTCAAAACTAGAGCTGTTGCCAGGTCTTGGTTCAGTTGAAGCGAAGCTGGTATTTGTAATTTTTTTTTCGTTATCATAATCTTGACCATCATCATCATCACTGTTTTCATCACCCGAGTCGCTATCATCGTGATGAGTCGACATAGGGCTCATCGGCGTAGTTTACAACTCGGTCGATTCGGTCTTCTTTTTTGTCTATAATTAATTATTTTTTGAAGATATTCGATTCGTAGTAATCGAATGTTACTTTTTTCATTTACCAGCTTCCGATTATTTTCTGTTCTTTTTTTCCATCTGAAGCCTAGCTCTTTCATAATTCGTCGTAAGCTTCATTCCGAGCCATTAAAATTTATATCTTCTTTAAATTTTTCGAAGCCTTTCTACGGTACGGAGTTTCGCTGCTTGTTATGTAGTTATTATGATTACATCTTTTTATTACAGATTGAACGAAACTATCCATTCCGGTAACTTTCTTCTTCCCTGATCTTTTCTTACCCGGAGTCCGAAACACGGCGAGCAAGCCAGAGCCTTTAGCTTCGTTAATAATGCACCTAACAGTACTCACTGATGTTTTTGTTGCTTCCGAAGTCTGTTTTAATTTTTCCATATCATTCTTCCCCTGTTTTATAATGAAGCAATATACGTCGTACACAAATTTTCTACCCTTTCTTTTAAGTACTACACCAGTTTGTCACGGCATAGTGTATGTTTTATAAAAAATCAACAAACACTCAACAAATAGCAATGGCAACAAAGTCCACAAGCAATTATAACAAATAACTTAACGATTAATAACGATAGACTTTCCACTGTACGCAAGCGTACTTTTGGGAGCAAGCGGAATGAGGGCGCGGTGCGGGACGCAAGGTTCGACTGATCTACCAATAACGCGCTCGATACGATTTCCCCTGCCGTCGCGCCTCACCCTCACCACCAAAGTGATCTAAAATTCGGTTCTGCCTGCGCAGTCAAGGTCATTTGCTCAAGAAGTTTGCCGATTACTATACATTTATTTAGAAACAGTTTTCAACGCAGACTGTTGCATTAACTAGTTGGATAGCTTCGCCCATCTTTAGAGGTAAAAAGTAATAATAAAAAATACATTTTGCTATTATATTATTTCAGACTTTTCAAATACTTGACAATTTACGTAGTCTCTGAGCCAGGGTCCAGGGGCGAATCCCTGGCCGGGGGTAGGGAGGACGGAGCCCCCCGTTCCCATAAAAAAACAATGAACTGTTTTTTAATTTTTAAATAAACTACAACTAATTGAATAAGAACTGTCTGATGAACTCATCTTTGTTTAATACTTCAATATTCAATTTTATTGCCTTTTGTTTATTTCACTTTTACACTAAACACAGTATTGCAAATTACCCGAGCACAACAATGGCGGAGAATTTTAGGTGCGTGAGAGCAGACGTAGATACTAACGCGCATGCGCACTTGTTACTACCCAGGGAGGAAAAATTACACTTTCTTCCCTGTACAGTCTGGTGAAACTTAGTTTAAAAAAAAGGTAGTATGAAACGCATGGAACCTTTAATGGCGACAGAACCCATCAAAGTAGGGAAGTCTACTCATTCATATGGTTGCTATGACATCCAAAACTCTCTTGTTTTAACCGTATAATACGACCATCTTTGGCGGCCATGTTTGTTTACAAGATTGCAATCCGTCAATGTCAGTTTACTTCATGGTTTGTTTTAATTAATTCTGTCTTTTTTAAAATTAAAATTAAAGCTGTTTAGTAGTAATTTGCGTAGTTTTCATGTTAATGATCTGTAAACCTGTGCAGTGATTTATCTTTGATAAATATGCCAATTGTAACGTGCGAGATATGTGGACTGAGAACAAGTCGGGTGGATAACAAAAAACGAACATTTATGGCTCAATTTCCACTGGATGAAGATCGGTTAGTACATTTTACGAATATAACTATACTCTAAATCAATGTGGCCTATAATTTATTGAATTTCAGAACATATTTCCAAAAAAATAATGTTTTACGTAAACACTAGTGCATTGCAATTTTTTATCGACTATCGATTAATCCTTTTCTTGTATCAGTGCTATTTAGAAAAAAGTTTATTTAAACTCCATCCCTTTAAGCAAATTTTCACTTTAAACCTTCTCCATTTCTAACTTGATTAAAATCAGTTCATCGACAGCTGTGACAAATAGGAAAAAAAATACTTTTTGCATTAATGGTAATAATGTGCTTTAATAATTTACCTTTGTAGGTGCAAACAATGGGTAAAAATAACAGGTAAAGAAGACTTGGCCTATGTGCCTATAGAAAAATTGCACCAATTGAAACATATTTGTGGAAAGCATTTTCGACCTAAGGATTTTAAAAAGAAAAGGACACAACTTAGAAGAAATGCTGTTCCATGTATCGAAATTACGGCTGAGCCCCTGAGCGATGAAATATTGAGTGATTTCCCACTCCATTTACCTAAAAAAGCTGTAGAAGACCAACACCTACAGTTTGATGCCACCAATCCTTCAATACCGCAATGTTCAAAAGGTTTGTTGCAGTTTCTCTTATATTGTATTATTTGTGCTTAATGCTAGACAAGAGGTGCATATCATAATGTTAATAATGCGACAATATTATTTAAAAAAATTACATAAAGAAACTCATTGAAGAAATAAATTAATAATAAAATTTGCTTTTTCCAGACTTTTTTGCATGCATAGTACAAGAACACAATTATTGTAAGCATAATGATACAGGTAAGAATTTTTTTGTCAGCATACTGGAGTAAATTATTAATTTTAGTTCACTTTTTAATNTATCATAATGTTAATAATGCGACAATATTATTTAAAAAAATTACATAAAGAAACTCATTGAAGAAATAAATTAATAATAAAATTTGCTTTTTCCAGACTTTTTTGCATGCATAGTACAAGAACACAATTATTGTAAGCATAATGATACAGGTAAGAATTTTTTTGTCAGCATACTGGAGTAAATTATTAATTTTAGTTCACTTTTTAATAACGTAAGATCTCAAGTTATTGAATTGTACACATACATACAAATGGCTGTGATTTTATATGTGTGATCGATCCTGCAATCAAAGTCGATATAAAGAGTTCTTGGAACACCCATGCAATCTGATAAAAACAGCTATTTGACAATTTGATTTACTATTTTTTTCTTACATACCTATTTTAATAGTTTTCTCACGGATATTGCAAACATTTTAGAACGAACCCTGCCGTCTCCATCAGTCATTATGGGAAGAAAAGGTCCTGCAGCCTAAGTAAATCTTTCCCCTTAATTTAATTTTTATTCAAATACTTTAATATTTCAGACAAACTTATATAATCCCATCCCCCATTTCCATGTGTATTACAGAACCTTCAACATCGATTCAAAACTACCTATTACCTGTCCAGGAAACTGCATCAGATTATTTAAAAAGGAAAAGATCGTGCAGCCCCAGTGCGTGTTGCCCTTGATTTAATTTTTTTATTGGAATAGTTTCATATTTAGACATACTTATAATAATTCTTTTACATGTGTGTTACAGAACCTTCAACATCGACTCAAAAACATGTATCAACTACCCAGGCATCGGCGACTGCGCCAGATAATTTAAAAAGAAAAAGATCCTACAGCCCCGAGTGCGTGTTTACACTTGACTAAATTTTTTATATAAATATTTTTTTAATATTTATATAATTAACATAAATCCTATCCGTCTGTGTTACAGGACCCTCAACATCAATTCAGAAAAATGTTGACACACCAAGAAAGAAAAAATTACGAAAGAAGATAAAGGAACAAAAAATTAAAATAAAAAATCTTCAAAAGCATGTTAATCAAATTGGGAAACTCAATTCACCAATACTGAAAAGTTTTATTTCTGCTTCTATTAGGAACAACAACCGAAAACCGCAAGGGAAACGTTGGACCAAATTGAATAAAAGCATTGCCATCGCTATCTATAAAAAGTCTCCAAAAGCGTACAGGTATCTGAAACAGTTATTGCCAATACCAAGTGTTAGAACATTACAGACAATTTTACAAAATATCCAAATGGATCCAGGAATATATCCAGCTGTGATTTCTTATTTAAAAAAAGAAGGCGAAAAAATGTCTGAAAAAAATAAGTTGTGTGTTGCTATGTTCGACGAAATAGCGTTGAAGAAGAGATTAATCTACAGTGCTAGTTCTGATATAGTTGAGGGCTATGTTGATTTTGGAATGGAAGAAGGCAGAACTGGAGAAATGGCAGATCACGCGCTAGTTTTTATGCTGCAAGGCTTACACAAAAAATGTAAACAGCCGATTGCGCATTACTTTGTCAAGGGCACAATTTCAACACAAAAATTGGTTGTAAAAAATGTTATAAAAACTGTAAGAGATGTTGGATATACTGTAGTAGCGACGGTATGTGACCAGGGTCCCACGAATGTTGGAGCGCTAAACTTATTAAAGCGCTTTTGTGGCAACCCTGCAGATTCAAATTATTTTATAGTAAATAAAGAAAAAGTTTTTATTATTTTCGATGTGCCACATCTCTTCAAGTCCATTAGAAATGATTTCCTCAATGGCGGTACATTGGTTATGGCAAATAAAAAGGCAAAGTGGTCTCATATAATTCAATTAGAAGAAAAAAACAGAAGCACGCTTCATTTCACCAAAATCACAAAATTACACGTAGATCCGAAATTTCGTGCCAGAATGAAAGTTAAATTAGCTGCCCAAATACTGAGCAACACAGTTGCTGCAATTCTAAAATTACTTTCCAAAATATCAAACAGCCGAGAAATGCTACAAAGTGCAGAAATAATTGAAGATTTAGATCGCCTTTTCGACTGTACAAACGGGCCATCTTCTCGGCACGATATGAAAAAAAAAATTAGGGAAAATGTGCGCGAGAACAGCTTTCACCATAGACTTTGGATCGAGTATAAAGAAAAACTTAGAAGCCTTCATTTTTTTAAATCTGACAGTCATTTGAGACTAAACAACGTGAGATGTGTCAATGGATATATCACAACCATAACCTCCCTTCAGAGTATATGGGTGTTTGTAGAGAGCAAACATTTCAAATATTTAAATTTGAGACAACTCAATCAGGATTCCCTGGAAAATTTGTTCGGAGCTATTAGGCAACACAGCCCAACAAATAGAAACCCCACCTGTCATCATTTCCAAGCAGCCTTAAAGTCGTCAGTTCTAACTCGCCTGAGTGTACCCCGAAGCAGAGGAACAAACTGTGAAAGCGATGATGGTGAAATGTTGTTCGATTTTCACGACATAGTATTTGATAAAAAAAACACAGAGGAAAAGAAATCTTGTGGCGAAAATCTGCTACTTCCAGGTACCCATCGAAAGGAACCTTCGGTGTCTTCAAATGAAGGTGTGCTTGCTTCATGTACCCCTAGAAATGATAATTTCTCAACCTCAGATGAAAATTTGCAACTGTTGCATTTAGACGATACAGATGACTATGATGAGACAGAATCTGACAAGCAATTGGAAGAACTGTATAAAATGTTTGACAAGCAGCCAACTGTGTATGTCAGTGGCTATCTAGCTAAAGTTATTTTGAAAAAGCAAAAATGTCAAGAGTGCTGTCAAACATTAAAAGTTTCGAATCCTGAACAAAATTCAATTTATGATTACATAGCCTTACGAGAATGGTGGAGCGACAAATCTTCCCTCACAGACCCGACACTTCAGCTTTGTAAAACCGTTGATTTAGCTACAAAGGTATTTGAGAGCGAAGTACGACTACAATTATTTCGCCAAAATATCAGTGACTATTGTTTTACAATAATGATAACTTTCTGTGATACGTCATGGATGTGTAAAGATCACAGAAGTATGATGTCTGAGATCTTGTTGCGTCGCCTAAGTCATTTATTAATAAGAAACGATTGCCGCAATATAAATCTTTCCTTCGCGATAACCGAGGAAACTTCTGCAGATTTATCGAAGAAAGCGCAACAACAAGCTATTGCGAAATAAATAATGTCGTCAGTAGAACATGTAAGTGTTTTTATACAAATATATTTATTTATTTTGTTATGAGCTGAAGTATGGGTTTGGATTAAATACACTATACAACTTTTAATTTACATTGGGGAATACTGTTCTCTCCGGGTCCTTTCTCGAGCTGCACTTCCTCGCCTGATCCTCTTTTCACCGACTTCTCTTTCGTGCTTAGCTCACACGTAGGGTCTTTCCAGTATCAATCACGCGGCGGGTGCCCTACCCTCTTCTGCTTTCTTCTTGTGCCTTATGTACTCAAGTTCGCTCTTCTTTCTTGTTCCAATCATTCAAATTTTTTTTTATACTCTAAGAATTTCTAACTACGTTTGTGTGTTTACTGTGTGTGTGTTAATTAAAAGGTAGAACAACTTGTGCGTGCGTGTTCGCGACCGACCTCGACCACTGCTTGTGCAATTATGTCGAAACGTCGGGATATAGTAGCTAACCGTTAATCTGGCTACAAAAAAGATATCGTGTTTTGGCCCGTTAAAATATTAGGGACATAATCCATTACACATTTGTTGCAGAACCTCCAGAACCAACACACCCGGCGTCCAAATTCTTCAGCGGCGACGGAAAATGTGCCAGTAGTTAATTTAGCATTAAATATTATTTCTTAGTTACTAGATAGTAATAAAAATATACAATAAAAAAAACTTTTTTTATTTCATTTTTATTTGAGAAAATTAAAAGTATTAACTAATGTTATCGATCTCATTTTATCGATAATACTAGTCATCCTTATTTTTTGTTCACGTTGGCGACATTGGTTTGTTGAAGTTTTAGTTAGGTTCGTCAGGTTGGCACTGAACCACTCCATGTGTTTCACACATTGATATTGTTTTTTTTTTACTACGGAGTCCCGTCTCTTATAACGTACCTAGTGATTACTTGCCCAGTGCTGTAGAGCGGGAGGAAAACCGATCTTTCGGCGTAGGTAGGTGAAAAAAAATTGTTTTGTTGCTTCGAATCGTGAAAATTCTATAGTAGAACATATCGGTACATTTTAAGAGTTTAAGCTAAGGGTTTATCGGTGTTTTAAATATTCCTAAACTTTCAGTTTGGTTTCTAAAATAAATGAATTAATAATAATGAATTTTTTTATTCTTTATTTTGTCACATGCAGTGTATTGTTTAGATCAATCAAGTGCTATTCCTACTTAATTATACTTATGCTTTAATTATAATTAATGTTACAAAGCCAAAAGGTGAAGGTACATATTATGTATATTCCTACATCCTTCTGTCAAAATTATTGAAACATGCAGCAGTAAAAAATATATATATGTAGATCTATTTTTCACAATTACGTACGTACTGAAGTTGAATGCAATCTTACAAAAATATTTTACATTTTTTTTACTTACATTTTATATATGCATATTAGATCAATTAGATAACATTTTTTTTAACAAAAATTTGTCAGAAATTATCTTACAATAGTCTTTACAAATAAAAAACACAATGACAAAATATATATTAGGCAGATCCTCTCATTTTAAATTCAAGTCTTTAAATTCATAGAATATATCACAATCAAAGTTAGATATTATTAAATTGTCATTTTTGGGATGAGTTTCCAAATTATAAATCTAATCACTTTTTGAGAATCATTAGAACAGATCAAATTTTAAAAATCATTGTCCCCTTAAAAATTCTTGTTTTGTTAAAATCAGTTTACGGAATTTAATCAAAATGAATGTTCCTATGTCATTCAGACACAGATAGGTTAACTAACTACACAATATGTAGTTTCAAGAAAAGAGTTTTCAAACAATTAGCAGGGCAGAGTAGAACTTCACCAGATTTCACTAATAAATAACAATAATTTTGTATGTAATTATAATGATTAAACATTGTAATTTAAGAAATGTTGATAACTTTAAAAAATGGAGTCTATCATGAATAAGAAATTTTCAAAATACATTTTGATAACTTTTGCATTAAAATAAAGCTTCAATAGATAGAATTTTACAATACTAGTATATCTCGAAACTTGAGTGTACTGAATTTTTTATTGGGATGATTTATTTACAATTTTATTTGAAACAAAGAATAATTTAAACACGGCAAGCACATTCTGAAGGGGTTCTAGCTGGCCTCTTTGGAGCAGTCAATCTCTTTGTAGTATTTGTGCCATATTGAATACCAGAACCTATCCTTTCAGGATCCAATTCACCAGTTTCAATCTTAGCTAGAATTGTTTTCGAGCATTTCAGAAAAGCTTCTTCAACATTTTCTCCTGTTTTAGCACTTGTTTCTAAAAACATTAATTCTGAAAATTTGTATTGAAAATATTAATTTATTTCTTTTGTGTTTTAATTAAATCTACAATAAATTGAAAAACTTACCATTTTCAAGAGCAAACTGACTTGCCTCAGTAAAAGTTACTTCTCTGGAATCTTCTAAGTCTTTCTTGTTGCCCACAAGCAAAATTACGATATTAGGACTTGCAAGAGTGCGAGCATCTCTCAGCCAATTAGCAAGAGCATTGAATGAATCTCTAGATGTAATATCATACACTAGCAGAGCTCCTGCTGCGCCGCGGTAATATGATCTGGTCACAGATCGAAACCGTTCCTGTCCAGCTGTGTCCCATATTTGCAACTTAGTTGATTTGCCACCGATGTTCACAATTTTGGAACCAAATTCAACACCAATAGTGTGACATCGATCTTCCTTGACTGAAATAAAATAATAATTTGGTACGTAGATAATACATTAAATAACGTTAATAAGAATAAATGTATACTACATAAACATTACACGGTATTTTATACTTACATTTATTTCCGATAAAATTATTTAATAAGCTTGACTTTCCTGTGCCTGCACTTCCAATCACAAGAAATTTGAAAAGATATTCTGGAACAATATAAAAATTTATTATGGACATTACAGAATCCCAAGAATAATCCATAAGGGTATTTCATATCAGCACTTACCGTACGATTCAGACATATTTGTTACCTTTAAGTTAAGTCTAGTAGGATTCAAATACACTATCTTTGGTTTTTAGTATTTTGTTAAAATCAAAACATTGTATGATTGTAATTTACTAATGATAGCTTTATTATGTAGGTATATACGGTANTATTATGGACATTACAGAATCCCAAGAATAATCCATAAGGGTATTTCATATCAGCACTTACCGTACGATTCAGACATATTTGTTACCTTTAAGTTAAGTCTAGTAGGATTCAAATACACTATCTTTGGTTTTTAGTATTTTGTTAAAATCAAAACATTGTATGATTGTAATTTACTAATGATAGCTTTATTATGTAGGTATATACGGTATTGATATGAATAAATTTTGTTTGAGTGACATTAAAGAAGAACAAAAATACGTAATTTTTTTTTAAATAATTTTATGACCTGGTAACTAAGACCTTTAGGTCATGTCTTATTTTAATTTAGGTAGTTTTCCAATTACAGCACAAGAGCGCATTATGCGGCATAATGCTCAACGTTGAATGTTCCAACTACAGCAACGCTTCGCACAATCGAGCACTCTCAAAAGTACTGCTCTCGCGTGATACTCGCAATCGATACCAACTCACTGACAGAAAATTGACAAGTGTTTTTTCTTTAAGTTGGCATTGTTCGAAATTTTTTTTATATTATCGTTAGTAATATTATTTAATGTTGAAAAAAATTGTAAGGCTTTCGTTTCGTCGTAGTTTCTTAGAAATAATCAATGTTAATTAAAACTGTGCTAACTTAGCGCACTCTGCTGATGCATTTGAAAACTAATTTACGTTTCAATTAAGCTACAGCATAATTCGGCATTGTGCGTCACTGAGTCGCATTATGCTCTGTAATTGGAAAACTACCTTAGATTCTTAATATTATGAAAAATGATAATATGGAGTGAAATGACATGAAGTGAGGATGATTAATTTGAGACATTAATCGACTGGGATGAAATTAAATGAAGGAGTACTCTGAGGAATTGTTTGAGATGATACCGTCATCTCGTTTTTACCACAGCACCGCCCGCCATCGGAATAGAGTTCATCCATACTACCTTGGAGCCACTGCGGTCATCCACAGTGCGTTTCCAGAAGTCTTTTTCCCACGTACCATCTGGCTATGGCAGTGATTATCAAATTTATTTATTTTACCGCCCCCTTTGAAAAGCAATTATTTTTCAGCGCCCCCCATTTTTTATACACCCCTAAAACTTTAAAACCACAATTTCATTAATTTAATTAATAAATGTTGTATTAATTTTAGTAAATGTAATACCATGTAGTACATAATATGTATTTGTAGGTGCTATTATTGATTCTTCATGTATGTACGTTACTACGGAGCGTGTATTTACAAATTTGTAAATTATTATAATAAATAATATTTTAAAAAAACAAAAAAAAATACGCTTTTATAGAAAATGCAGCTAAAAAATAGAAAATAAATTTTAATAAATTTGAATTAATATGTGTAAAAGAATTATTTTATTGTAAAAAAAGTGTGGGGTGCTTTTCAGGATATTATCAAAATAGCCCTTCTACTCATATATGTTGATAAAATATTTATAAATGCTGGTACCTACTATAAAATTTTATATTTCGACTATTAAATAATACTACTAACAATAATAACTTATTTAATACGTAAATAACTACGGAAAATAAATTAATATCGTTTCGTATTAAAGGTAAATATAAGTAATTTTCCATAGAATTTTAGTTTATAATTTAGAACTGGTGCAAATCAAAACCGCTGTCTAAGCCAGCGTTTTTATTATTTGTAATATTTAATATTTATAATAATTATATAGAAATAGTAAACAATGCTTACAATAAGTGAACTGTTTAGGCTTACTATTTGACACTGGATGGTAATGGGTTAATTGTAAAAAAAAATCTAACACTACTTTTTGAACAATAATTATATACGTATATCTATTTTATATAAAATTTATGATTCTCACATCAGTAATTTCTTATAAAATAAGAGGAATATGCTGTAAAATGCCTTTATGTTAAAAACAAGAAAGAAAGTAAAGAAAACTTCAACTTATGTTAGTTTACGTATGTATAATATTTTAAAACTCTGCATGGTAGTTTTTTTCCTAATGTTTAAAATAATTTATGTTGAAATGTAACTGTAATAAGAGAAAACCTTTACTGAATATAAGGTTTTAATAAGCTAAAATTAACAGTAAAATTTGCTTTGATTACATTAGGTACATTGACAAATAACGAATAAAACAGATTGACAATGACGTCAACTTATGGCTGATAATTTCAACTAAGAAGTTTACATCAGTAACTAAGGTAAAATTGCTCTAATTTTTTAACTATCATCGATCATGATCCTTTATCCGCAGAAAGTTGTTACAACTTGATTACGTACGGTGTACGGGCTATCCTACGAAATCTATGTTAAGTATTTTAAGTTTTTATAACATCATACAGAGTAGAAATATAAACTAATTATTTGTTATTGTGTAGTAGGTGGGTTTTAATTTTAGTGAAATTTTAAATTATATATAAAGTAAATGAAATCATAAATTATACATCGCCCCCCTAACCCAAATGACCCTATAGGTTTCAAAAGCCCCCAAGGGGGCGTTATCGCCCACTTTGAAAAATACGGCTATGGAATGAGCTCCCCTCCACGGTGTTTCCCGAGCGCTATGACATGTCCTTCTTCAAACGAGGCTTGTGGAGAGTATTAAGCGGTAGGCAGCGGCTTGGCTCTGCCCCTGGCATTGCTGAAGTCCATGGGCGACGGTAAACACTCACCATCAGGTTGGGCCATATGCTCGTCGGCCTACAAGGGCAATAAAGAAAAATATGTAATAAATTGGGGAAAAAGTCTTTTCGCATTATATTATGTATGAACTTAGAATAAAATCTTTTTGGGCATACTATTTGTATCTGGCTGGTTTTGGTATCATTAAAAGTTTAAATTTTAAAGAACATAATAAGAAATAAATTCAGTGAGCCTACGTAACACTGTATACATACAATACACTTAATATTTGAGACAATATTTTAAAAGTCATAATTAAGTCTTTGTAGGTCATAATTAAGTCTTGTGCATAATGTATTTCATCACCAATAGTTGTCGAACAAACGATAATCAATCAAAATTAATTAATCTGAGCGATAAAAGTAAAGATATCTAGTAAAGGGGGGGCAATTTAAGGGTGATCATTTATTTAATTAATCATAAATAAGTAAAAGACGAACAAGCAATTTTTACAATCGAACATTAACGAACAAACGACGATCATACAATTAAAAATTTAAAAAATCCGAAAATCAAAAGGGGAGCCAAATTCAGTAAGCCTATTACGTACCTAATCTATTACGTACTTAATCTCAGTAAATGACCACCATTTTACTAAGATCATATTTCATCCCATATCATCTCTTCTCATTTCATTTCATTTCATCCCAGTTGATTATTGTCTCAAATTAATCATCTTCATTTCATTTCATTTCACTCCATATTATCATTATTTATCAAATAAAAGTATTCACAGAATATTTAAATTAAAATAAGACATGACCTAAAGGTCTTAGTTACCAGGTTACAAAATCTCTTAAAAAAAAATGTATTTTGTGCGAACTCTGTGGTGCTCAGTACTGCACAGGCACTAGGTGAATGAAGTTAGCCCCTCAAAAAAAATTTTTTTTCCTATTTTATACTTATTTTCTATTAATTCGTTTGTTCATCATTTGTTCATGATTGTTCACTGTTAATAATTGTTTGTTCTGCATTTATTTATTTAAAAAATATATTTAAAAATATACCTACAAGTTAGCCCCTCTAATGCAATTTTTTATATTTTTTCATCCTTAATGACTCGTAAATATTCATTTTCGATTGTTCTTATATAAAACACGTTTGTTCTCTTTCGAAATTACTCGTTTTTTTGTTTAATTTACTATTTTTATTAGTTGAATAAATGTATGCAAAATATGTGTACTGCGCATGCGTCAGCTATAATGCCTAAACCTTCTACGCGGTTTTAATCGTGAAAAAAAAAAACAAATATAAATCCTGAAGGAGCAATTAATTGGTATACAGTTTAATTAAAAAAATTAAAAAATAAATAAATGAAATAATGTGCATTGGCGTTAAGTTAGACCAAATACATTTTTTCCATCCTCCTACTTATCGTTATGAAGTAAATATGTTCATTATTTATCTTTCAAGAGATAATATAGGTATACATTATAATAACTTTTTTACACAGTCGAAATTATATTCCTAACATTAGTAAAATAAAATTTTAATACGATAGGTAAGAGGATGGAAAAAATGTATTTGGTCTAACTTAACGCCAATGCACATTATTTCATTTATTGAATTTTTTTTTTTTTTTAATTAAACTGTATACCATGACATGGGGTAAATTGGGATTCTGGGGTAAATTGGGACAAACCTGCGGAAGATTCTCAAAGTACCTGTAACACGGAATCTACCTAATTTTGTTTATGGTAATATTTATCAATGTATAGAAGAAAAACCAAGTTAACTATAGAAGTACTAAATATGAGTTAAGTTGGTCCCAAAAATTCGTCAAATTAAATTGAAAATAGTGGTTGAAAAGTGCGTTTTAAAACAGCTTAAAGAACTTTTAAAAAAAGTAATTTTATCATTGTTTTTTCAATAAGATCACACATATAAAATTTTAATACACCTGCAAATACCACAACAAACGGTAAGTTGCAATATTCTTATTTTAAATACAATATTTCGACAAAATAAAAAATGTATATTTTTTCCTTTCTTTTTGGGGAAAATTGGGACGTATGTGGGGGATTTTGTTTCAGAGTTGTGATTTTTAAGGAAATTAAATGATAATTTTCTAAAATATAACATAGACATACTTTTTTTGATCATTGTATTGTTGATTATCGTTCACGTCACATCGCTTCGGAATAGAAACCAGCTTAATTTACACTATGTTGTGTATTGTGCTTAAATTATGGATTGTATTCATCATTTCGGTCCATATAAATAATTGTATGGCACCTACCTACCTACCTATATATCGCAGTACTGCGAGCTGACAGCCCTTACAGATATCCCAATTTAACCCTTACCCGTGTCCGGGACGGCCATTATTTTACCGATTATTTCTTTAAAATGAATAATTAAAATAATGTAACGGTTTTTATCACCTAGGTACGTTCAAGACTCAACTTATTTCTTTAGTTGAGCAGTGACTATTTAATTGGAACTATTTTAAAATCCAATCTGAAGTTCGATTTTGTCCCTATTTACCCCATTTTACGGTACCAATTAATTGCTCCTTCAGGATTTATATTTGTTTTTTTTTTCACGATTAAAACCGCGTAGAAAGTTTAGGCATTATAGTTGACGCATGCGCAGTACACATATTTTGCATACATTTATTCAACTAATAAAAATAGTAAATTAAACAAAAAAACGAGTAATTTCTAAAGAGAACAAACGTGTTTTATTTAAGAACAATCGAAAATGAATATTTACGAGTCATTAAGGATGAAAAAATATAAAAAATTGCATTAGAGGGGCTAACTTGTAGGTATATTTTTAAATATATTTTTTAAATAAATAAATGCAGAACAAACAATTATTAACAGTGAACAATCATGAACAAATGATGAACAAACGAATTAATAGAAAAAAGTATAAAATAGGAAAAAAATTTTTTTTGAGGGGCTAACTTCATTCACCTCACAGGCACTGTAACTTATTACCAATAATAAGTGTATAATCTATGCTTATTACGGACTTTTTGGCGGGAACGCGAGGAGTGAAGTTGTGTAATTTGTTTTATTTTGTCTATTTAGTGTTTCTTCGGGTTTAAATGTGTAATAATGGTGGTTTATTAACTGTTTAATAACTGTGAAAGTGCACAAATGTGGGAAAATGAAATAAAGCCGCTGCACGTAACATCTCGGGATCCTCCAAAAAGTCCACTGAAAAAAGTGTGTGTGTCCGCTCCGACGCACGACTGGAGTTTACTGGATATAAAAAATTAAACGAAACAATACGAGAAATAGTTCTATATTACGACAACACGATACACTACAGATTATTAACAAATTAACGAGACACAAAACAAACGACTAACAAATATATGAAAATACAATAATGAGAGAAACGCGCGATCAGTACGNTTATATAAGAACAATCGAAAATGAATATTTACGAGTCATTAAGGATGAAAAAATATTAAAAATTGCATTAGAGGGGCTAACTTGTAGGTATATTTTTAAATATTTTTTTTAAATAAATAAATGCAGAACAAACAATTATTAACAGTGAACAATCATGAACAAATGATGAACAAACGAATTAATAGAAAATAAGTATAAAACAGGAAAAAAAAATTTTTTTGAGGGGCTAACTTCATTCACCTAACTTATTACGGACTTTTTGGCGGGAACGCGAGGAGTGAAGTTGTGTAATTTGTTTTATTTTGTCTATTTAGTGTTTCTTCGGGTTTAAATGTGTAATAATGGTGGTTTATTTACTGTTTAATATCTGTGAAAGTGCACAAACGTGGGAAAATGAAATAAAGCCGCTGCACGTAACATCTCGGGATCCTCCAAAAAGTCCACTGAAAAAATCTTAGTAAATGACCACCATTTTACTGAGATTATATTTCATCCCATTTCATTTCATTTCATTTCATTTCATCCCAGTTGATTAATGTCTCAAATTAATCATCTTCATTGTATTTCACTCCTTAATATCATTTTTCATAAAAATATGAATACCTATAAAATAAAATGACATTACTTAAAGGTCTCAGTTACCAGGTCATAAAATCCCTTAAAAAAAGTAATCTAATATAGTATTCTGTACGTCACTATAAAACTAATATACTAATCTGTGCTTCACAGGTGTTTTGTTGTGAAAAATAATTGATATTTTTAATCTCCAAACATGAAAGCTTTATTAATTTTCGATAGTGTTAATGACCTGGTTTTTTCAAAATGGGACGACTCTTTCATAAGGCACCTGAGAAATTTTAGTGTACAGGTAAAAAAAAGCTTAAATTTTGTTCAATATTTAATTACGAGTCTAATGTAATTAGCATCAATACATCCATAGCTTTAGATTATATGTCACAATAACCTGTAATGTAAATTGATTTAAACTATCTGTTTTTGCTTATTATTTAACGTTTTTTGTGACTTAATGTTGTGAAGGAGTTGTCAGATCTCTTGATGCCGAAATCGATCTCTGAAGGGACTTCGAGTGCTATAATATGCCCTTCTCAAATGTTGTCTGCGTCTGTAATGTTCTGAGTCCGGGCTGCCTGTTTCTCTGACATTCGTAACGTCCAAGAGCGACGGTGAACACTTACCATCAAATGGTGCGTTAGCTCGTCTTGACAGCAAAAATGCGCAACAAATAAAAACAGGTTTTTAACAATAGTTTATACATTAATAAATGTAATATTTTCAATTTTCATTGACAGGACTTTGAAGAAAATGTAAGTGACAGTGTAAATGTGTCTCAGATATTTACACCCATTATACTATCGCAGAGGGTTATGGCGGCACAATTTGGTAACACATACTCCTCCATGCAGTGTAAAGATGGTACAACAATATTTTTTGATGAGGTAATAATAATAATGAAAACAATATGGATAATTTTCCTGGTGGTAGGACCTCTTGGGAGACCGTGTGGGTAGGTACCACCGCCCTGCCTATTTCTGCCATGAAGCAGTAATGCGTTTCGGTTTGAAGGGTGGGGCGGCCGTTGTAAATATACTGAGATCTTAGAACTTATATCTCAAGGTGGGTGGCGCATTTTACGTTGTAGATGCCCATGGGCTCCACTTAACACAGGTGGGCTGTGAATTTGTCCATCAATCTAAGCAATAAAAAATAAAAATAAAAACTGTATTAGAAAGACATGTAGATGAAATCAAAAATAAAACAATTGAAGATGTGACTTGGTAATATAACAACATAACTATCTCAATTTTAATACATAATAGTAGTCCACAAAAAAAAAAAAAAAACCTCTATAACGAATTTTGTCAACCAAAAACCCTTATTTATGGTTCCCACCAATATGACCCTTAATCCCATAGTATGTGAATCTGTCAATTTCAACATATTTTATTTGTAAAACAATCAGTGTTTTGTTTGATGGGACGTAATGTAAATAGTGCTGCTCATTGTTGATTTTTTACCTTTAATTTGTGAGTTTTGTTGTGTGAATCGTTATAATTAATTAAACTACCTACATAATGTATGATCTCACCTTGATACTTATTTTTACGGACTTTACTGCATTTAGTTTCAATTATTAATCTAAGGTAAAAATATTGTTACCTCTACCTATTTGTTTTTAAATAGAAAACATATACAGTACATAATGTGATAAAATTTTTTAGACGTTGTTCACTATAACAAGATGAGTAAGTAATGTTGAGGTGAATAGAACTATTTTTTATACCTAATTATAACAAATGGTAGACCAACCTAACCTTAATATAACAAACCTCAGTTTACCACATTACTTGATATAACGAGTATTTACTTGCTCCCTTCCGATTTGTTATATCAAAGTTACTTTTCCAAAAAAATATCTTCTTAGTGATTTATTTAATCTGAAAATATAATATTTCATATGAGATTTCGTTTTTTATTGCTAATAAGACCTCTATGCCAAGCTTGATTTTGTTGTACATATTATTATTTTAGTGTAACCGGTTGAGAAGCTAAAATTTATGCAAAATAGACAGGTTTTATAAGCCTGCACTTTTATCATACTTGTAGGTAAAATGTATATATATATATATATATATTTTTTTTTTATTTTTTTTTTATTGCTTTGATGGATGGACGAGCTCACAGGCCACCTGGTGTTAAGTGGTTACTGGAGCCCATAGACATCTAGAACGTAAATGCGCCACCCACCTCGAGATATAAGTTCTAAGATCTCAGTATAGTTACAACGGCTACCCCACCCTTCGAACCGAAACGCATTACTGCTTCACGGCGGAAATAGGCGGGGTGGTGGTACCTACCCGTGCGGACTCCCAAGAGGTCCTACCACCAGTGATAAAAATATTTGTTAAAAAGTATATTTTCGTAATTTTAGATAATTTGATACTGGCTGTGCGGTGTCTAGATTAACTATTATTCTGCTGGGTTTCTTAAAGAGCGTTAATAAGATTCACCAGGGAATAGGCATCTGTGTTCTCTGAGCATATTAAATTTGCCAACCAGCATTTGGCAGGTCAAGCAAGGGTTGATAATGCCATTCTGCAAATTTATGTCGGTGAAGCAATCAACCATTCCGGTTTGAAGAGTGGACCAGCTATTATGCAATACAATAATTAAAACTTAAACAATTTGCCTAGGTGGGTGGTGACATTCATGTCTATGGTCTCCAATGATCACCTAACACCAAGGGCCATGAACTTTTCTACGCATATACACTGTAAATAAACATTTCTAAATGTACTTTTGTACTTTCAGTGGTTAGATCATGTTTTTATTATAATATGTGAGGATTGTTTGGATGATGCACATAGAGAACTACTCGATTGCAAAACTCTTGTACAACACATTTGTGGGCAAAACATAAACCTGTAAGTTAAACATTAATCTTAATATAACAAGCTAACTGAATAATTTAATCAAAACATAAAAATAACACGAAAAAATAATATAAAAAAGTGAGCTGTTTGTAAAATTTGTATAATGTCATCATCTATTTAATGATATGAAAACCAGTTCTAATAGAACCAAAGATGTTTATTCATTGCAACTTATTCTTACAAAATATGGAAAGACTTCACCAACCTATTTTTTTTTGTTTAAGTATGTATCTATATCAGATTGGTTTTCATAGTACATGGAATCCAAAATTGTGGGCAGAGGATTGTGTATGATTGTATCTGATTATTTGTTGTTATTATTGAATGTTATTTTTATGTTGACCTATTTTATCGTAGCTTGCACTCACCAATCTACCAGGACTGGCTTTCGGTACTACTGGACTGCCGAACTAAAGGAGACTCAATCCCTGGAGCGAATGGAGTGATCGGTGAGAGCGGTGCAACATCTGCCGCTCTGAATGCACTCAAAACTTCATCTAAAGATTTCAAAATTTCCTATTCACATTATCATTTATTGCTGTTCGTTGGAGACAAACTGCTATCGCTGTACTCTAGGTAATTTACTATTTTTTGAAGTTATACTTCTTTAGGCGCGTTATGAAAAATTTATGAGAGTGACATTTTACGATGCGCGCGCACCGTGACACAAAATTAACAGAGTGAAGTTGCCCACTAAATCGCTCATTACAATACGACTACGACCGACGTAACTTGGCGAGTATGAATATAGCCGCAGGTGAACTTTCCGAACCGTACCGAGAATTTCCGAATTACGATGTCAAGAATAAATGAATTCTGGAAAATTCAGGAAGGAATTCAGAAAAGGGACGTCCAATATGCGTGTTTGAGGATGTTGTTTAACCGATTTTTTTTCAAATTGATTAAAATTTAAATTAAAAAAAAAAAAAAAAATTTAATAAAAATAAAGTATAACTTCTTACGCGCGTACATAAGTACACGCACCCTTTTTTATTGTCTTAGATGGGCAGATAAGCTCATATCCCATCCTGTTACCAGAACCAATAGACACCACTGCAACCAGAGGCGTAAGGTCGAATTTAGGCTAAAGTCTGTCCTACACTTGATAATTGAAACACCAAAATATTTCTAGGCAGAAATAAATAGGATGCAACTGTTTAAATAATGTGATAATTTTAAAGAATGCATTTTTTTCCAGCCGTAGTAGTGATGATCTGTCTCCTCCAGATTTAATCCTGTTAAGTATACAATGTATAGCGGCTCAAGAACATTGGAAAGACGCTAAACTTGAAGATAATGAACATTTTGTGAAGCTACCGTGTGAGTTGGGTCTAGAGACTTTTGCATTTCGAATACAAACTTTATTAAGAAAACGGGACTTAATCTTGACATAGGTGCATTGTTTATATTATTATGAATTGAAAAGTGTAAAATTGTAATTAGAATGTATTGTGTATTCGCGCACGGGTAATTGACGCCACTCTGTCTGTTACTCTATAGATACAACTGAGACCTAGACCTCGCGTCTCAATGGACATATGGATGTCAGTAATCATATTGTCGTGTCTATCGGGTACAGTATCCACCTATATAGAACAGTAGATTGGGGGGAATAAAAACTAGAGTTAGAATAGGAACAAATCTGGGATGTCACAATACTTTTGTTTGTTGGGCTTTTAATTTAATTGCATCGTTTTGTGACTTGTGTTCGCTCAATAATCGAAATTCGACCTTAATCATGAACACCTTAAGATTTAAAGTCGTTTATTACGTTTTGACTTTTGTGGTTGATAGAATAAATAAACTGAGTAACTGAAGTCTGAAAAGGTCTACTGAAAAAAAAACGGGGAGCGAATGGTACTTAATTGTCGTATTAACGGTCATTAATCACGTGTTAGTTCCATAAATACCCAGAAAAATTGGATTAAATTTCGGCATAGCCGCATCACCTGTAGCGTATCTCATCTCATCTCTCATCTCTTTAGTAGTATTTCTAGAAATACAATCAAAATTGATATTAATAAATTGTATAAAATACATGATTTTTTTTTAAATATTTTAGGGTTGTCAAAAGAGAATAGTGCAATAATAAATTTGTGTGCTGGTCCAATGGGTACCCCATGTGCCCCGCACTCCATGCACCTCGCCGAGGTCGCTCCCCGTATCACTTTTGCTGTTGTCGCTGATATGGACCTCAGGTACTTTCAATTTTATTAATCACAGTAATCACAACTACTTTATGTTGTAAATAAAAGTTATTTTAGTGACGAACTATTCTAGGGAAGTGGGCATTGCAGCTAATTTGTCATGTCAGATACTCTCGAACTTAAGGAGAATTTTATTGCAAAGGAATCTGGAATTACTGCCTTCTACGCTTGATAATTTAGAAGTGGCCCTGAAAAAGGTAACCGACTAACAAATACGTTTTGAACTATTTTACGCTCAGGAACCGTTCGGTATAGATTGATTAATTGACGATTTTTGCTATAGACTACAGATTCTTTGCGTAAAAATAAGGCTAATGCTAGTCTATGCGCTCGTTTGACAAGTCGCATGCTAGAGTTGCGCAAGTCCTGCACGACCACGACCCCGTTGACGCCGGAAACCACTGCGACGGCCATGCACACTGCCTTGGAAGCTGTCATCGAGCAGCTCAAACCGGATATACCGAGTCTCAAGTTAGGGCAGGCATTGAAACATCTTAAGAATCTTCTGGCGCCGTACGTTGAATTCCTTCGTGTGAAAGCGATGAGATTCTTCAGCTTGGGATCATATCCTTTTCAATAAAACTAACCGTATCGTAGTGTGTACGTGTATGGGTAGAAAAATGCATGGCAATCTGTGATTGTTTTTCAAGTATTTAATATTGGGAAACGATTTTTAGAAAAGCTAGTTTTGAGAGTTTACTATGAAAATTCTCGAAGCTTCCGATAATAGAGTCACGTTTTTTTTTTAATTCGAAACTTGGAGCTCGTTAATCAATGTGAGTGGTGTTATTCACATTGTGAATTCTATGGGCCCCGATAACCAAATAATATCAGGTGACCTCTGAGACCGTTTGCCTATCAACAGATATAGAAAAATTGCTAGAAATTTGTTTTTAATTTTAAAATTTTCTCGTTCGCGATTTTCTGCATCAAATGGTTGTTATACATATTTTTTTTATAATTGCATGAGAATGTTTCTACAAGATATTGTTGAGTTACTAACAAAAAATGTAATCACAAACGCATAGCTGATTCGAATTCCACGATCATTTTTATGTTTATTGCTTTATTTATTTATATACTTTAGGTAAGTACATTTTAAAAGGTTGTTTCGTTGTCTCGAACTTTGTAAGTCTCGTCTGACCTATGTATGTAAATGTGTGTTTTTAATAGTAAAGATATAAACGATATGCTCTTCTTAAAACGCGTTTTGTACAAACCATGCTATAAAAGGTGTTTTCTTGTTTGAATTGTAAAATATTCCACATGTTTACAAACTTTTTCGTTCTTACGCAAGTTAACAATTTACTGACGTGAGAATTGTATTACAATATTTTACTACATGAAACTGTATATTGTCGATGTGTATAAATAACTAGCCGTACTCGTCCGCTTCGTACGGGCATTTAAAATTAACATTATTATTTTGATTATTATTAGGTAGTACAACACTCATATAAATATTAGCCTATCCATTAAGTACATGTATTTTCTACATGGATACCAAGTTTCAAGTCAATCGGATGCATGGTTCAGTACTTATAACGGAAAAAACCACTGTAGATATTATTATATATTAGTATTATATATGAAATAATTAATAATTTGATAACGAAACAATCTTTAATAGTAGCACATTTATACGTTGTTGCGATGTTCGGAACGATTATTTCGCTTAATGTGGGCTGTATGTGAGTGCACGGGCGAGACAGATGTCAGTGGTTCCCTAACGCTGCACAAGTATGTGGAGGAATTCCCCGGCCTCATACATTTCATTTACGTGGATCGGACAACTGGACGATTCCTGGCTCCAGATATGGCCGATTGCGCAGAGATGTTGCCGCCTGAAGTGGTGAGTTTCTTACTAAATGCTTACTAATCAGATAGTTTAATACTGGTGGTAGGACCTCTTGTGAGTCCGCACGGGTAGATACCACCACCGCGCTTATTTCTGCCGTAAAGCAGTAATGCGTTTCAGTTTGAAGGGCGGGGCAGCCGTTGTAACTGTACTGAGACCTTAGAACTTATATCTCAAGGTGGGTGGCGCATTTAAGTTGTAGATGTCTATGGGCTCCGGTAACCACATAACACCAGGTGGGCTGTGAGCTCGTCCAGTCATCTAAACAATAAAAATAAAAAATTGGAATTATCTTTAGTACTACTATGGTTGCGTACAGGACGCAATGAGACTTAATCCGAAACAGGAATAAAATATCACCTGGACGTCGACGAAAAAGAAGTTTAATAAGCTAAATTATTTAAGCATAAATACTTATCACTTACTAGCTGACCCGGCAGAATTCGTAGTGCCTCAATCGATAAATTAAGGACCTAAACTTTTGTATAAAATAAACTTAAAACAAACAAAAGGAATCCGTCCGACGGGGGACACATCAAAGGAAAAATTAAAATTGTTAATTTTTTTTACTTCCGAGCATTTTTATATTTATTCACCTTTTAAACCTTCACTGAACTTCCACAAATAATTCAAGACCAAAATTAGCCACGCTTTTTTAAAATAAAATATATTTTTTTACACTATTTTCAATTTAAATTTATTAAATTTTATTTTCTATTTTTTAGTTGAATTTTATATAAAGCGTTTTTTTAGTTTTTTTAAACTATTATTTATTTTTAATTTTTTAGTGAAATTTTCTATAAAAGCACATTTTTAAAAATATTAAGTATTTTAACATCAATTCCTGCCTTATCGACTATAGATAAAAATTATATAAATTGACAAAAAACTTATTTTGCAAATTGAATAATGGAATAAATAATCTTATCAAATTAGTGTATTGTCATCGGTCCTCGATAAATCTACAAAGTTTGAGTGAAATCTGGCCGTTTAAAGTGGGTCAAAGTCGCGTCTAAAGGAGTCAGCTACAAACATACATACAAGTGAAGCTTATATAAAGCGTGTAAAAACCGGCCTGTATGTGTGCAGATAAAGAGCACGGTGCGGCGAGCGCTGAGCGTGCTGCGCGAGGGGTACAGCGCGGCGACGTGGCGGCGCGGCGCGTTCCACGTGTGCGCGGTGCGGTGGTGGCAGCGCGGCGCCGCGCCCTGCCGCCCCGCGCGCCCCCCGCCGCCCGCCGCCCTGCGCGCGCTGCCGCCGCCCGGGGACATCCTCGCCTCGTTCTACAGGTCAATGTTGCCTAACTTATGCATCAGCCCGCTGAGTTTCTCGCCGAATCTTCTCAGCGGGTTGCGATCCGATCCGGTAGTAGATTCATTCGCGAAGCAATTGCTCTAATTGTTAGGTCTCCGGCCCACCAGTAATCTTTCAATCATAAAAAAGGTCAATATTAGCCCACTGAGTTTCTCGCCGGATCTTCTCAGTGGGTCGCGATTCCGATCCAGTGGTAGATTCAGCGAGGCACTGCTCTTGCTAGGGCTAGTGTTAGCAAATTCTCTAAGGTTGAACCCGTGAGCTCATTTAGCCGTCCAAGCGCAGCTGGAATAGCCCCCTAGGCTACTAAGCCATTATCGAAAATATTTTTTTTTTTTATTCAGGCAATTGCTCGAGCAGTCATTTCCAAACGACAGCCAGGGAGTGAACATCAAGGAGTTGATATGCGTCCACTTGGGCCTGTTGCCGGCTTCGACGGCCGTGCAGCAGGCGCGCCGCCTCGCGCACTCCGTACACGAACTCGCCAGCGACATCCCCGCCATCGCCGCAGACCTACTCTGAAGCCGTACCCTGGCTGTGTGGCGGCCTGGAACACCCCGTCTCTTCTAATGGCCACTAAAGGTGTCGCCGCGAAACGGGTAGGAGCGTATTCCTATAGTATAACTATACTGAGACCTTAGAACTTGTCTCAAGGTGGGTGGCGCATTTACGTTGTAGATGTCTATGGACTCCAGTAACCACTTAACACCAGGTGGGCTGTGAGCTCGTCCACACATCTAAGCAATAAAAAATAAAAAAAGTATTCCGCCATTTTTTCTTCTCCTACCTATGCTGATAGCCTTGAGAGGCTATTTCAGCTTCTTGACGTGTGAGCTTACGCGGCTCAAACCGGGAATCTTGCTAACACTGGCCCAAGCAAGAGCAGTGCTTCGCAGAATCTACCACCGGATCAAAAACGCGACCCACTAAGAAGTTCCGGCGAGAAACTCAGTGGGCTGTGTCTGAGGGTTAATTTACTCGGCGAACCCTTCGTCGCAAGCGACGGGTACGGCGAGGATGGTGACCGGCGTCCGACCAGTGTGACCATCTCTAAACTATAGATCCTGCCTTACTTTAGTTGAATACCTGCCAAATCCTGCCAACGTCTGTAGTAAAAAATGCCTAATTAATGCCAACTTTATTCACCGTTGTAATAAACCAAGAAAAGTAAAAATACACAGGAGTTTCATATTTTCACATACGCTCTTTCATATTTTCGCTTCATCACCACCACCAATAATAATAAGTATCGCCCAAGAAATGTCACTAACAAGATATTATCACCTTAAAATCTAAATCGAATCTATCTATAAGTGAGTCGACTATTATCAAAGCCGGCAATGTGACTTTTGGACAATTATTGGTAAATCAGAAAAACGAATTATTGACTTTGTATTCCATTGGCAGTCACAAAACTCTTCTGAACGACATCTTAGATAAATAACAGGTTAAGTATTGACCTTTATTTAATGCAGGTTTTGAACCGTATTCTTTGAAGGAGACGATTATATTCAAATCAATCTGTATTGACATATCAATAACATTTTTTTGTCCAAATGCACAGATTGCCACCTTTGATAATAGACGACTCAAGTATGTCTAAGACTGTTTAAATTTAAATATAAACCGTAAACTCGTGTTTATGAATACTCGTTTCAAGTTTATCAACTTTCTAAGCAAAATTTTCAAGTTGTTAATTGAATGTGATACGAATATAGCACGAGAAGTATGGGAAAATCCCCTACATGCTCACGAAGTATCTTCAGGGTTGTCATTTTTTACATTTTATTGTGTTGCCATAAGGAAATTTATTTTCTTTATCCCAATTCCCAAAACTGCCAGAAGCTAAAATAAGAGTCCAATCCTGCCAAAATGGCAGGATCCTGCCACATAATGGTCACACTGCGTTCGACTGTTATACCAGCGTAATGCGATCGGCAACCGGCATTTTGCGTATTTCTGCCGCCAGGTGGCGCGTCTATTAAATTCTGCTATGAAACTTACTGTAAGTTTTTATGTGCTAAATAAAATTATGTGGTTCCGTTTCACGACTTCAACGTGACGATGTCTAATCAAAGAAAAAAATTATGTTCCAGGAATTACATCACACTAATGAAAATAGCTGTCTAGCTGATATAGGTACAGTAAGTAGTAATAAAGTGTCATATTGATATTAATAATAAGATGATTTGTTGAAAATTATACATAGGTGTTGGTAATAACTATAAGGCAAAAAAACATTCCAGATATTATTTTTATTTTATGTATCTATAGACATTTTGTTTTTTTTTTTTGTTTTTAGTAACTTACACCGAAGTTGCTACAAGAAAACATTATTATGTGGCAGAAAATATAATTCTTAACTGAATGACTCACAGACAACTTTACTAATTGCCGGAAGTAATACTCCGATGTGGGGCAAATGAACTGAATACTATAAATATAATTTCTATTGGAGTAATTTCAAGCTCAGAAACAAAAAAGAATACCATTCTCTTATGGGACTTCAAACTCTAATTTGAGGTAATAAGGTTGAGTTTTATTCAAACCATACTTTTGACAACAGGGGACAAATGTAACTACTGATTGCAGAACCAGTCTTGAAACATATCGCTTCGGTATTTTTTAGTTCAGAATGTTAAAAAAAGTATACGTATTAAGGCATTTTTTATGAGAATCATAGTCGTGGCTAACAGCTACCATATCTGTACACACGTACTTATGGTACAAGTACCTACTTAGCCTAAACAATAAAAATCGTGTCTTTCACTACATAGGCCCGTTGCCAATTTTAAGGCTTCATTTTATGGCTGAGAGATTGTGCTTGAACCTCAACGAAATACCTGACCCGGTAGTATCAGATATTGTAGGTTCTAGCTTGCCGACACGCCTGATGTGGGTTCACATTGGCTGGGCCGGGAGTTCGTCCACCTATCGTAGCAAGAAAAAGTTATAGTTAGCTAGATATTACCTATGTTGGACGCAGATTTTAATAACATAGCTAATTTGCATAAATATAGTCCTATATTAATTTGGCGTACTTACTGTACAGTGTACATTGTATTTTAAAGTACTGTAATTCTTGTAATAATCATTCTATTTTAGTATGGATCTAAAATCTTATTTTTCTGTTCGCGCAGTATTTTGCTTTTGATTACGATTTTGCTCACTTGACCATTAGATTAAAGGCATTCGCCTACTAAGTTTCTCGCTGGATCTCCGATCCGGTAGTAAATTCATTCGCGAAGCAGTTACTTTTGAGTTGTTAGGTCTCCTTTGGAGGCGCTCGGGTAGCTGTTAGCAAATTCCACCCCTCCTGGCTGAGCCCTTGCTCGCCCACCCGTCCTGGTGAAACTAGGAAGGCCTCCGGGCCACTAGTAATCATTCAATCATTTAAAAAAAAGACTCGCCGGTTCTTCTCAGACGGTCGCGATTCCGATCCGGTGGTAGATTCAGCGAAGCAGTGCTCTTGCTAGGGCTAGTGTTAGCAAATTCTCTCAGGTGGGCCCATGAGTTGACTTACTCGGCCGGGCGTAGCTAGAATAGCCCCAAGCTACTACTACTACTACTACTACATACTACGCTACAAGCGAATAGGTAAAGAAAAAAATACGTTCAAATGCAACATTATTCCTTTGATTACACATTCATCAGAATGGATTAGATTAATACAAAGTATAGATTACCATTTCGGTCACAAAACATTTTTTTGCTTAGTTATTGCTTATACAGGTGAATAAGCCACCGCCGTATTGATCGATACGAGTACAACTGGAGTCATATATTTTAAGCCACGTCTTCAAATAACATTGCTAGTCAGAAATTATTGGTCCTAGTAATGACATCAACATATGCAATCGAATTCGTTTTTGAGTTTATAGATGGCCTTGTTAATGTAAAAGCGTCTAATGTGGATTATTCTAATTAATATCTTATGCCCTTCAATTAGCTTCAATAGCCTCTAGGCATACTTGTATTTAATAGAAATATTACTTGATAAGTTGTGTAACCATTTTTATCTGTATTATTGTACTATGTTTTTGTTTAAATAAAACTAAATATAAACTGTTTTGTTTTATTCAAAGATTCTTAGTATCCAAATGAAAATAACAAATCAAAGTAGATATCAAATTTATTAAAAAATATTATTTACAAAAACATACCAAAATCTGTTTATAAAAATTAAAAAAAAAACAATGAAGAAAATGCTTTTTTATGCTTATTAAATGAACATTAAAATATTATCCAACATAATTATATTCAAAAATAATTAATACAGACTTCAACACAACAATTAAACTTAACAATGAAACTACCTCGTGAGTATACCAGAGGGAGGCAAACAAAAATATTGTTTTAGAAATAGATTTTTTTTTGTAAATGCTTAAATTTCATAAACTCGTTCATAAAGCCTCCTTTTTTGAAGTCGGTTATAAAATAAATAGCCTCATTTGTACCTTAAAAGCTGTGCCATAGTAAATACTATTATGGATATTGTGTTAGTATACTCTGTGTAAGAAATATGAGGTACATAAAAATTTATGTACATTTGAAATTAATAAGTACAAAAAGCAATATCATCAAGATAAACAAGTAGGAAAATCATTCACCATCAAGTTTATTTCTGCTGCGAAACAGCCAGAAGTAGGTGTTGAAGTCTGCCAACCATTTTAAAAAGGTTATTTGAGACTACGACCTTGGGACATCTACTGTCTGCGGTACCACTTACGAGGTAGGGTGTGAAAGTTAATGCTTTAATCTTTGCATAATCTTTTTGTCTCTCGAAGAATGTTTTGACAGAGTGGGCTTCCTTTTACTAGTAATTATAGCTATTGTACTATATTGCAGTTTATTCATTTATCAAATGCACAACAATGAGGTAATGAGTTGGTAACTTGTGGTTTATAATAATAGGTTTTTAAGAGTACAAAAGCTGAATGAAATATCAAAAAATTAAATCAAACAGACAGACACTAAATAAAGTTGATATTATGGACTTTCCACATATGTATTGTACCACATTCCAATGGAGTGGAGGATTATTAATTCAATTTATTCATATAGACATTTTACAACTTTTACATAAATATTCATAAGTTCACTTAAAAATAAAGAAATAATTGAGACTCAAAAATAAAGAAATAATTGAGTTTGTGCTTGAATAAAAATAAAAACTTTTGAAAAAATTCCAAGAGAAAAATCAAGAGTATTTTTTTTTCTCTTATATGCAAGAGAAAATGAAAACAAATTTGTTAGTCTGGGTTATATTCTTACAAAATGCATCATTTATTTTCCAAAAATTTAGAGTTTATTTATATTTACATTTATCTTAAACTCTTCTTTCTGCTAAAAATACAGTACAATAAACAATAGCTTACTTCCGTATAAAATCAATTATTCCCATGTCAAGTAGCATTTACAATAATCATTTTCACTATCAAAATTATTACAATATTTTTATAGATACCATAAGATATGTTAGTTGAAAACATTTATTCAAGTTAATGTTGCATTGTATTCTGAAGACACATTATTGAGATTAAAGTTTTAAAAGTATACATGTGTTATTAATATAGTTAAGTAAATTATAGTAACCTATTGAAGTAATTGTGGTAACTGAACAATTGTTTATAAAGGATTTTAAGAAGGCACTTTAGTACTCTGGTGAACTATCACCAAAACACTTCACATCATTGTTTAAAACAATAGTCTTTTTTATATATCTTCTGTCTTCCACATCAAATGTAATTAAGTCTTCACTCATTGTAGTGTCTTTCTGGAAGAATAAATAAATAATTTTATTATTTTTTGTATTATATTTAGATTATCATAATCATTTTCAGTCAAGTAATTCAAGCAACTGCTAAGTATTACAGTGAGTAACTACATACTAACTACAGTGGGTAGGCATACTTTCACGATTTGTCGGGAGACAGAGAAGAAATTTGTGAACTAATGTTATACACACATAATATTTGAAAATCTATTGGAAATTTTTGGGATGGTCATACTATACTTACACTTGTTGATGGCATGTCACTTCTATTTTTTAGAGCAGCTGCATAATTGAGTATTTGCTTTGTTGGACTTGTAGTTATTAAGCATGGACTTGGGTTTCGATCACTGGGAACATCATCCACACCTGCTGTACTTTCTCCTTGTGCCGATTGACTGCTAGTCGATGCCATATTTTTGAGATTGTTGATGGTCATCATATCTAGTTTTTGTGGTGCTTTCAAGGCTTCCGCACAAGCTTTAACCATATCAGCTTTCTGTCTCTGAGTCTCTTCTTCAATCATTTTACTATATGAAGCATACAATTCTACTGACTGTTTGTCGGTCAAAATAGAAGTCATTTGTTTTATTTCTGCCTGAAGTTCCCTGATTGTGCTTTCATTTTTTGCTGCAATTTTTGCTTCCATCATCAACCTAACATCAACTGCTTCTTGTATGCTCAGTATTGCTTCAGTTGTGTTTGTATTCTGAACATTTGTTTCTTTTACAATTTTATTGAATACACAATTTGCTGGTAGTTGATGTGCTCTTTTGTAGCCTGTTACTTTTTCACCTAAATTACCTGTGACATCTTCAATATATTCATACATATCAAAACAATTGATTTTTCCAAATCTGTAAGTAAATGTGTGGGTTGATGCAGCAGAAGATGTTCTGTTTGTTAGATTGCAAGTTACAAATGTTTTCTTCCCATGATATTTTTCAAAGTATTTTTGTAGACCTTTTGCAATTAACTTATCTCGAAATGTAGGTTTGATGTTGGTATTCTTTCTATATTTGTACCATCCAACGATTTCTTTGGCAGTATTAGAGAGTAATTCAGACAACACTTCTTCTTTTATTCTTCCAGTTGGAAAATAGAAAAGTGACACCGAAGGCAGCGGTAATACAGTTCTAATAACGATTTGAGTATCAAGCCTTGCATTATCACTTTGAGAGTCTGATATGTGATTGGTTATTTGAGATGTTATATCTCCAACTAGAAAACCTTCCTGAGAACATATAAAAAAAATTAGATTCAATTTATTATGTACCTAAAACTACATTGAAACATAATTAATTACTAAAAAATGTGTACCTGACTGCATCCTGAATTTACACATTCATATAACAAAAATGACAGTGCGGTGCCGCTAAGCGACACCTTTTCTGTGTAAGCCATATCTATATTAAGGACTAAGTTTAATTATTATTTCTACGATTGTTACATTACACAACAGTTATCATTATATATGGTTAATTGTTTAATGAGCTAAACAAAATCATTAGCTGCAACTGTTGACGAGACGTCTGTGGTCACGTGATGTCGTCTGTGACATTGACATTGCTCCCTTTGCTTCCCTTGCTTGTTGTTTGAAACAAACGGAAGTTAGCTCATACAATCCAAACTAAAATGAAAATTGCTACAGGACAGAATTAAACCAATTTAATTGATCTGAAATTACAAGCATTGGACGGTTAAATTTGAGGGGATTGGGTTCTGTAGGTTGATGAGGGGCTATTTAAAAACACACTGCTTCATTATAATTATATTGCAGATAGTTTGAACACTTTTACACCATTATAAAATTATTATCTATATATTTTTATAAAACGCTTACATGTTACTTTGACCGTGTCTAGATGAGAAGTACTGACATTTTCTTACGAGAAGACAATCATCTGTTTTTAAACATTTAAAATAATTCTAATACTCGAAATCTGTAATAATGTGTCAAGTGTTGCCTGCCATTACATTTATATTCAAACTCCAACAACAAGAAATGGACTTAAAAAAAGTGATATAAAACCAAGCTTTCTCTTAGTGATAAGGGTAGAAGTTACCAGAAGATCAAGCTTCTTTTTGAAAAAACCCGGAAACCTATGTCCAGATAATTTCTTTTAATCACGTCTATCTATACTTCAACAGATTCAAAATAAGATACTAATAACTATTATTAAACTGACCTGAAAAGACATTAAGTTAACAAAATAAAAAAATTAACGTAGCTTCACTACTAGCGATGCTGCCAGGCATTAGACAACTTAAACAATAAAGATTTAAATTTCTTCTAATATTTTAATAGTTTTTTACGCAAAGTTGAAATTTTCTTAAAAATAACAGCATTTTAGTTTCACTGCAAATCATTATTCTGGATTCCGTAAGAAATTTTAATTGTTCATTAGTATAGTAATGTATCATATTACTACTACTACCCACATAAAGACGGTACGCGACCGTGCCGCCTTCATACTAGGACGCCTCTACCCGATGATATGCAGGCGAAGTAAAATGTCCCTTAGAAATAAGGTGACACTCTACAAAACTTGCATACGCCCCGTCATGACCTATGCAAGTGTGTTCGCTCACGCGGCCCGCACTTACTTAAAATCATTCCAAGTCATTCAATCCCGTTTTTGCAGAATAGCCGTTGGAGCTCCGTGGTTCGTCAGGAACGTCGACCCCATGACGACCTGGACTTAGAGTCCATTAGTAAGTATCTGCAGTCGGCGTCGATGCGCCACTTTGATAAAGCGGCACGACACGAGAACCCTCTCATCATGGCCGCCGCGGCGCCGGTAACTACATTCCTGATCCTGCGGAAAGAATGGAAAGCAGTCGACGTCGCCCCAAGCACGGTTTACTGGTGGTAGGACCTCTTGTAAGTCCGCACGGGTAGGTACCACCGCCCCGCCTATTTCTGCCGTGAAGCAGTAATGCGTTTCGTGACTATATTGAGACCTTAGAACTATATCTCAAGGTGGGTGGCGCATTTACGTTGTAGATGTCTATGGGCTCCAGTAACCACTTAACACCAGGTGGGCTGTGAGCTCGTCCACACGTGTAGGCAATAAAAAAAATAAAAAAGCACGTCATTTCGGATCCTCCCGATCCACTAACGGTGCTTTTAGGTACCTCAAGCACCGGTCATCGTTCTTGTCGAACCCGTCGCTTACGACGAAGGGCTCGACGAGTAAATTAACCCTCAGACACAGCCCACTGAGTTTCTCGCCGGATCTTCTCAGTGAGTCGCGTTTCCGATCCGGTGGTAGATTCTGCGAAGCACGGCTCTTGCTAGGGTTCGTGTTAGCAACGACATCAGGTTTGAGCCCCGTGAGCTCACCTACTAGTTAAGGCGACGCTGATATAGCCTCTCAAGGCTATCAGCTTAGGTATAAAAAAAAAAAAACTACTATTACTACTTTTGTAACTATAGATATAGTTCCAGAATAGTATAAATTGTAAATTAAATTGAAAACTTTTAGTAATGAAAAATAACATTTATAATCACCTATACAATCACAACCAATTTCAAATAAATTAAGTGGATATCTGGCACAAAATGTATTTATGATTTAGTAATAATTAATGAAGATTTACCTAAAAGACAAGAATCCAGGACAGAACGTAACTGAAAAATAAACATATGTCAAATAATTGTGAGAAATATTCAAATTCAATATTTCAAAAGAAAATCTCGGTCTTTGGAAGGTGGTAGCCGAGGATTGTAAAAATTTTATTCCATAAATTTGCAAGCGGTGGGTATTTGAAATTTTCTTCTTAATCCGTAATAAAACCATTTACGTAACTAAAAAAATAAGATTTTTACTATATAAGTTATCATGAGTCATTGAAATGTCCACTTCTAAAATTAGTTGCGCGGTGTTCGTAACAATTTTGATAGAAGCACACATTTAAATTTACGACGACAAAAATATTAAATTATGTTTATTGTATATTTAAAAACATCAATACTACAGTATAGTTTCTGGCCATAATTAAAATATTTTTAAAGGAGCATTTTTAATTGTAAATAAACACTTCTTGTATAATCTCGTGTACTCTACAATATTATTTATTCAGTAAACTAGCGATTTTATAAATCAATAATATTTAAAAAAAATTAGGCATTTAAATGAACACTTATTTGCATTTCATATGTGCACTGTTTAGTAAATTAGGCTATTGCTTTCTTTCATACAAAAGATTCTTTTTTGTCTTCGTCAGCTATAAATCATGTTAATAAATGGTCAACAGTTTTATTTGAATTTTCTTGTGTTTATCAATTAATTAATACAAGAATGAGACATCTATCTCACTTGTGTAGTTTTGATATTTTAAAGAATTTGTAATTATTTACTTGAAGAAGCCAAAGTTTGTTGTGGGTAAATTAAAAAAATATATAATAAAGAGTATGTTTAAACAGTGTAAAGTGGGTGCAAAAGTAAAGACCCAGGGAGAGTAGCAAATCCCCCTCAAAAACTAATATTTAAGAATTTAAACCAAATGCCATTAATAAATTATTGTTAATTTACGTATCAAATATATGAATGAATATTTACATATAACCTGAAAGGCGAATCAGAATCAAAATTGGGATTTTCTACCTTGAAATATATGGATCAAAACAATAAATAGTACTCTAATGACAAATGAGCAGGGCACTCTTGAGGCTAGAATGAAAATATGAATCTGTAAAACTAAACATAGATAGATTATTGTATAGTAATATATTATTATGAAATATGTAATCATGATAAGTCATAATTATCAGCATCGTAAACACTATCACAAAACTGGCTTCATTTTCATGTTTGTTACAGGTACAGTACTTAATAAAAACAGTGCATGTTCAGATGTACTATAAATTTTTTGAAAATAAACAATTATCAAAGACTTAACATAATTTTTAATTCTAAATTTAAAATGGATGTTTGTAAGGAAAACGAGTGCCTGACTCTTCAAGATAAAAATATTATGTCCAAGAAATACTATCGTCGTGTTGAACACAGGTAAGCCCTTTACTAATATCTACATTTTGCTTTTTTTTGCATTGATTCTATTGTCATGTTAGAAAAGTATCTATATTGACAATATGTTAATTAAAACCACCAGGTAAACTGCAAACTTGTCAGCTTAATTTTGCTTACAGAAAACAAATATTTACAAAGTTGAGTTGTCAATGTAAGTTGATGTCGAGAAAGTGCTCTCCAAGTTTTAGCCTTGGAAATTCTCTGAGAAATTGTTTTATATTCTAAGGGTTTCTATTGTAACATAACATGACTCACAATCAAATTAGAGTTCATCTCTACCTGACACCAATGTTGGAAATATTTACAACACATATCAACAGGTTTTGAAGTAGACTCCCCTCCTCTGTGTTCTTGTCTACTTTCCCTATCTTTATAACAATATTGAACTAAATTAATCCAATGCTAACATGTCATTTGCCATGACAGCCTAGGAACAGGCATTATTACTGTTTTATGATCAAATACAATAGATCCATATGTCCCATATTTTAGTGTAAAATTTGGAAGATATGTGTACTTAAAATTTCACAATACTAAAATTGATGAATTCAAATGCTAAAACAAACAAATTGAGCTTGAACTCCATAAAAATATCTATACAATAAAAATAAAAACGTATTTTTAAAGACTGTTTATTGTCAGCCGATCTAGGCTTTTAAACAATTTAAGTAGTATGCGATAAGATTTTCATGTCAATTACTAATTAGTTGCTAAGATATATTAAAGTCTTAAAAAGTTTCTCGAATTTTTATATTGAATATGTTTAAAGAATTGACATTGCAGCACATAATTAAGATAACTACTATAAATCAAAATATGTCAAGAACAAGATAATTTCTTGAGTAGTTTAAGAACTAGCAGTTTATTTAGGCACTTTGAATATTAGGTGTTATCAGTCATCCCAACTGCGCAGTCCACTGTGTTCTTTGGTCATACACGCACTAACTCTATTCTTATAAAATAAACAACAACCTTTAACAAATAAATACACTGAAATCATTGCATAATTATATATTTATTACAAGATTCGATTACGTAGGTATTTGTAAATATTTTGTTGTTTTTAACACGCACTTTACATCAGCCGACGACTAGGGTTATCAATAATCACCCAGTGGGGTCAAATTATCATCGTACTGTTTACTTGCCAATAGACTACAGTTCAGTCGCAGTTTCGATTTACAGCGAGTCGGTATTCGATTATTGAATTTAAATTATTCGCGGAAAATGCCTGACGCTTTTGAGATAGCTTATCCCCTGTCGCCATCGGTGAGTCCGCAAGACATTCGCGCACGCGCAAACTCGTCTTCGAAGAGTAAACGACCCGTAATTAAATTTTTCGCGGGCGATGAAACTCTAGAGATACCTGACAAGTCAGTTGCTGGCATTGATAAGCCATTGTCCAGAGTAGACCGAAGCGAACTTGAATTGGATAGTTTCGCTGAGTCTCTAACCACGATGCATAGTGCTTGGTTCGATAAGAGAGTGCTCGAGCACAGGTGCGTATTGGTTTTTAACTTTTTATCTAATGTTAACATTGTTTAAGCGTATTTCAACAGGTATTAGTTTTATCAACTGTTTCTATGCTGTATTTTTGCCGGCATTTTGTGAAATATTAATATTGTTGTGTTGTTGGGCGCATATTGGAATTATAATGTGTAATCTATCTATCTTCTTCTTCTATATATGTATATAAAAATGAATTGCTGTTCGTCAGTCTCGCTAAAACTCGAGAACGGCTGGACCGATTTGGCTAATTTTGATCTTGAATTATTTGCGGAATTAAATAAAAATAACAATTTTGTTTTCCCTTTGATATGTCCCCCGTCGGACGGATTCCTTTTGTTTGTTTTAACTTTATATTATTCAAAAGCTTAGGTCTTTTATTTATCGATTGAGGCACTACGAAGTCTGCGGGGCAGCTGGTTCATGATAAAAATATCGTTACAGTATGTATGTAAATAAATTTCATAGTTGTAAATAGTATGTGCGATCTAAAATTAAAACGTTGTAAAAAGTAACTTTCATTTTCTTTGCTGTCCTATTACTAATGTAATATAAGAAGACTATATGACCAATACATGTGGGTGGACACTTTACCTCGATGCGTAATAATGATTGAGTTATAATAATTTTTCACCGAGTGTCGATCGGTTACCAAAGATTGAAAAGACAACATGACTGCCTTGAGGCATTAGTTCGAATACTTTGTAGTCTAAACGCATAGTTTTTCGTGGCAGAAATAGTCAAGACATGCTTAGCAGAAATCCCAGTATCAGGACTTCTAAAATACAATGCAATAGAGCGTTTTTTTTTCATACATTAGTGTTTTTGATGGAAGTGTTTTCATCGCCGAACCCGTCGCTTGCGAAGAAGGGCTCGATGAGTAAATGAACCCATAGATAGACACAGCCCACTGAGCTTCTCGCCGGATTTTCTCAGTGGGTCGTGTTTCCGATCCAGTGGTAGATTCTGCGAACCCCTTCGCATGCTAGTGCCATTGTTTTCAACGCTTCCGGTTTGAGTCCCGAGAGCTCACCTACAAGCTAGGGTAAAGCTGAAATAGCCGCTCAAGGCTAAAAAAGAAAGTGTTGTCTCCATACTGATGTGATTCAAGAATGTCAGCACTTAGGTAGCGCCGCGTCAGTAAATTATTCGGTTGTCCAAAATATATAGATTGATTCGAATAGTGTTTCAATACACTAATTTAACTCACACCAATAAACGAATTGTATTGATTACAATTTAGTCTAACCGAATAAATTGCGATAAGATACCCTGTAGCAGATAAAATAGTGTCTATGAATTTGTTGTCGTGTGCCAATGTGCACCAAATGATCGAAATTTTACCACAATATTAACATTTCAAGGTTTAGATAAATTTTGTTTAATGTTTTTTCTCCTTTGTTTTGTTAATATTTTTTTTCTCTTGTAAAGACGAAAAAAACACCGTAATAGAAAAGGGAAGACAACGTTTTGGCTTTTGTATTTGAAAACTGTATAATTATATTTTTTAAATACTAGAATTCGTCAATAGATTGTAAAACGGTTCACAGATAGAGTAGAACACGCTACTTAACTGTAACCACTTAAAACCAGACGGGCCGTTAGTTTATCCACCCTTTTTAAGCAATAAAAATAAAAGTTAAAAAAAACGCATCTTTTGATATGTGGCTAGCCTTATTTTTTAGTACGAATCATATTATTAAGGTATCTTACGTAAAACACAATTCCAGGGCTGGCAGAAGAATAGTTTGTTCGGTATTATCAAGTACTCCATAATCCGAAACTATTTACTTGGGAACATTTTTATTTCGTCGAATTGATTGTCTATTTAAAGTTTTCGGTTTGATGTACACATTGTAAGACACCATTTATGTAGATTATTATAATGAATGGCTCTTCGTGGTAAGAATAATTACCATTATCATCTTTAACAAAATATAAATTATTACAACATTCCTTTTTTTCGCTCCGAAAACATGTAAATTTAATTGTCATGTTGTATTGCAATGAAATAGGAAACTAATACTAATAATGTTCAAGTAACTTTGTCTTTATTAGGGTCGTCGAAGTGAAAGCCTCCAATTTATTTCCCTCTAAGAATAATCGTAGATTTTCCCCCTTAATTATATACAATTTTAGTGTTGTTGGATACCGTCAAGAACGGTTCGATCGGTTCCGTTTTAAAAATTTCAAATTCCTTATCCAATGCAGCGAATGTATATTTTTTATTGTTTAAAGTTATTTTAATAAGCTCACGGCCCATCTGTTGTAAATTTGTTACCAAATCCATACACATCAAACATGAATGCCGCCACCCATCTTTAGACATGGAAGTCTATTGTATTGTAGAACGACGGTTCGCACCCTTCATATTGACACATTAACACATATTGACACAAATTGACACACATTGACACATAACCTCTTCGCGGAAGAAATTGGCGGGATGGTGATGCCTGCCAGTGTGAACTTACACTATGCCCTACTACCAGTATGCTGTTATAAGAACCGGAACACGCCTCCTTTGGGCGTCTCTATGTCACCATACGGCCCAAATCTTCCAACCAAAAAATGGGTTTCTATTATTTATGTAAAAAGATGTATGCACGTAATAAAAAACCTATGAATTTTATTGTTACTCAGCGAAAACTTCGTATGTTTTTTAAATAAGAATTAATACATAATTAGCGTAATTTTTTATTTTGAAAAACAATTCTCACGATGCCAAATGTGCGAATGACTGACTTTAAGGAAGAGTTAAAATGTATTATGTTTGTGTTGTTCAGAAAATGTAGTGGTACAACGTGGGGCTTAAGAAAATACGTGGATGTGAATAAGTGACTAGTGACTAGTAATGGATATGAATGACCATCATGTCTATTTCCACGAAGCACTCGTGCCCAGAATCATAGGACTGCTTTTGTCGCAATTTGTAATGTTATTCTAATTTCGCATGATGAGCATCGGCGTTCACCTTGTGGTCCAGGAATTTCAGACACGTCTTATAAGTGAGCCGTAAATTTGTTCGCCTATTTTAGTCAGTAACAAAATGTATACCTTGTCAGGTCTTACCGGATAACACGAAACTCATAATAGACATCAATCGATACCAGTGACACGTGTACGTACGTAAAGCTTATTGTTGTTACAAGGAAAGATAATTTTTATTTTATGGTAGCTAGATAGATTCGGGAAAATATGACGGGTAATTTATCACGTCCGGATCATATCACCAGTTTTGAGAATTAGGAACATGGTTTATTTAAAAGGTTGAGATCTGAGATCCGTTAAGTTCGGCAAATTTAAATAGACAAACTCCCATTGAAAGATTCGTTAAACAATTTGAATTTTTTTCAACTTTTTTTCTTTGTTTATATTGAGTATTCAAATTGCAAACATTTTTATTAATACATAATTTATATTTGATATTAAATCAATAAATCATCCAATAAAGTGCAAGCAATTTGATATTT